TGAGAGGAATCTGACCTTGTGGCCACCTCATAATTGGCCTGCACATCCATCCAATGGCCAGTCTCCGCACGTGACTCCTCCACTGTATTTCCTTCTACAAATGCAGCCGTAAATGTGTTGTAATCTCTGGGCAAAGGCCTAGAAGTCAGTGACCTCCTTGGTTCTAACCCAGATTTGATGTGGGTTCAACAGTGAGTCATTAGTCCTTTTTTCACATCTCCTTTTCCTCTAGGAAATATGATCTGTCATTCTTTAATATCTTTATATAAAAGAAGCTGTGACTAGATTCCATCAGCATGTTTTTGCCAAGGAGTTGTAAATCGAAAGATGCAGGTCCTTGAGTAGACCACAGGGGTCGCTGTGGAGACACTGAAGGCTCCTCATCCCCTCTGGGAGGCCAAGTGGTCACCACCTGCCTCTGCCGCTTAGCAAAGTCCAGCCTCCATCAGGTCAGCTCTCCTCTGGAGAGACGGGAGGCAGGCTGGCTTCCCTTGGAAACAAAGACTGCCCAACTGCTTCAGTTATAAACAGAGCATTTCCTTGAGGGTTGTTTTTAGTCTTTGAAAAGTCAAAGAAAGAAAAAGAGAGGAAATCCTGAAGGAGGAGAATGTGGTCTAACTTAAATGTAACCACAATTAGGCACCAGTGTTAGTGCAAGTAATGATGCAATAAGAATGGGGTGAACCAGAGAGACGTCTGTTGTGTATTAATAGTCAATTCTATCGGTTTGTCCCTGGAGATCTCTCTCTCTCTCTCTCTCTCTCTCTCTCTCTCTCTCTCACACACACACACACACAAACACAAAGAATCTTGAAAAGTAAAATTGCTGAGCATAAAACAAAAATGATACTTATGTCTCAGCAATTGCTAATATTTTCCTTCATTGAGCAATTGGTCAATAGACCAGCAATTTATATATAGGAAGACCCATGAGCAGAAGGCTAAGATACATTCCTCAAAACCATAGTGTTACTGGGACGTATTCTACATTTCACAATTTCACTTGGAAAATTACAATGGAAATAAAAAAAAGAGATTGCTTGGTATTAAATGTTTGACATTCGTGTGAAACAATTACAAAGGAAAACTCATTGTGCTTTGGGAGGGGGGGCTGTATATTTTAGTTTATTTCATTTGATATGACAGAATAAACTAGCATGATTATTTATTTTCTTCGGTTGCCTAGCTTGGAGATTCCACTCTTCATTAACTGCTTATTTTCCTTGCAGTGAAAATTCAAGACTTTTTTTTTTTCTCTCTTTTCCTTGTTCTGACTAACTTCAGACTGGTTACTGACTGAAGGTACTAGTGGGTGGGCAATAACAGTAGTTGGGCTAAATGAATGGGAAATTTTGATGCCTCCAATTTATGTGCTTTTAGGTCACAAAAATGAAGACTACATCATACAAAAAGGTCTAATTCTGTATCCTCCTGTTCAATGCTCTTATTTTAATTGTCCTTTGATCATAAATGCATTTTTGAGTTACTGTTTTTAAAATGGCACTATGAACAGAACTCAATAACCCAAAATAAACCAGCAAGACTTCTTGGTGTGGGTACTACTGACATTTTGGGCCAGAGAATTCTTTGGGTTTTTGTTTAGTTTGGTTTTTGTTGGGGGCTGGGGGGAGAGGCTTGCCAATGTCCTATGTGCAGTATAGGATAGTTAACAGCATCCCTGGCTTCTACTCACTAAATGCCAGTAGCAACAATCAACCCCAAATCATGACAACAAAAATGTCTCCTGATATTGCAAAATGCCTTCCCCAAGGGGGTGGGAGGGCAAAATAAAAAGAAAAGGAAAATCTTATCTCTTTCTTCCTTTTGATGATTGCCCAAGCCACTACAGATTTTAATTGTCAAATTATTTGGATTCTTAACTATCGTCAGTGTAATCACTCTTTCTAAATTTCTGAAGCCTTAAGCTTTTGAATTAGATGTGCCTTGAACTTCAAGTGAGTTGTCAAAAGGACTAGGAGTCCACTAATTCCCACTGGGCAAACCATCGGTAAACCTTAGCATAACTCCACTTTGAGCCTTAAACTAACAGCACGTGAAAAGATCAATATGAATAAATTCAAAACTAATCAGACCCCTTCTTTAAATGTTGACACAGTATTATTTATATCCTATAAATACCTTCTTGACTAAAATCCATCCCAGGAGATTGGCACCTGGCCAGTTCTATTCATATTTACTGTATTTATATAGCACACTTGGCCAAGGATAATATTTAAGACAAAATATGCCTTAGGGCATATACAATATCGCTTATATTTTTACTTTTAAATCTCCACATTGCTAAAAATATTCAGTCTGAACTTTATAAAATGTCCTACAAAGGGCTATCAGCAATCTGTAATGATATATAGCTCATTGAATATAATTAGAGCATATTTGTAATACTTGAGCTGAAGTCATTCCCTGAATGCTAATAACTTGGTGGTAAAAAAATGAACCAGTGATCTTTCCCATGCCTTCAACTCTAGGGCTTATGACCCTCGGCGAATTCAATGCAAGAAATGGCAGGCACACTCCATCCTCACAGCCACTTCAGTAACGTTGGAGTTAAAAGTTAGGCAGCAAAGCCCTGAAGAGGGAGAGTTGGTCCATAAGTCAGTGCTGTACTTTCAATTTGCTCTTTAAAAATATGGTGGAGTGATTTCTTCGTTTCTTCCTATTTTTGGAAGGGTTTGCTATATTCCAGTATAACTAGAAAGTGCTGGAAAATCAGTTAACCTACTTTTTATAAAATTATCCACAGCCCTTGCTCAGTAGAATCAAATCTGCTATTAATATGGCTTTCTGTTCCTTAACTTCCAATGCACACTGTAAGAAGTCCATATTCTTTGTATCTAAATTGACAGTATATTTTTTTTATATTGGGTTTAGAGCATTTTGCTGTTTTGCTTTGTTTTTTTAATTTATTTGGGGGTTTGGGTTGGAATTAGAAGAGAATGTACACACTGATCTTAGACGCCATCCTCAACAATCCTGTTAAAAATCTAAGAATTTTTCCAGTTGGGTAATGACATTGACCCTGAGGTTAGATCATCTTGATTCTTTGGATTGAAGTGTACTTGAGAGAACAAAGAATTAATACCCTCTTTGGTAACTGGCTCTATCCACACCTTTAAACTGATGAGGTCAGGCCTCCTCTCTGAGTTATAAAAGCACCGGCAGTTCAGAGCTTTTGCCAGTAGATATTAAAGGGATGAGTTGTTCAGGTTCCACATAACATCTTTGCCTGTCTGCCCAAACAGCAGCAGAACTGATGCACGTGCTGGAGAAAGCAGACTGACTCAACTCCTTGCTCTGTCTCAATGGTTTTGGACTAATTACAATGAACTTTCTTTCCTAGTATCTCCTTGGCTCCATCCCAGGCAGAATGCCTTACTTCCCAAGGGAGAAGAACCAGGGAGGAGTGTATTACCACCGCTATTTTGGATAGTGCCATAATTACAATGATAAAATCATCCTGCTTGCCAGCATATCCTCTGTGTGCTCTGCTATTGAACAACAAGAGAAGCTGCAGCAAGAAAGTGGCCATGAAAACTAGGGTTTAGACACATCGGCTGACATCCTGAGACCATCAAGTACAAGACATGACAAGTCACAGAGTTACAACTTGTCAAACTAAAAATAAATATTAAAAAAAGAAAACCACTACCCTGCAATTAGAACTTCTAGGATAAAGTTACCAAGATGGTTTTATTATCTATTTAGGCAAGACACACAGACTTTGCAAATGCAGCCAACAAGTATATAGGGCATGGGAAGGGGAGGAGAGAAATGGTAACCAATGAAAAGCTTAGGGCTTGGGATGTGGAATACACAAATGTTGAAGCTAGTGTGTGTGTTTCCTCTTTTTTTTCTTCAACTACTTGGTATTTAATCCTCACTGGTATTACTAAATGCTTTTTTTTTTTTTTTAGGAAGAATTTTGTGATAATTCTAAACTCACTAACTTCTTCCCTTCTCCCCCAAAGAAGCCCACAATAAATCATTTCACTCCGATTGCTACTGTATGCAGCTGGTTTTGAGGACACTGTCCTAAGAGAAGCCAGTAAAAGCGCTACAGTATTCTACTCTGCGATTTAGGAATGCTTCCAGCCAGGGGAAGGGCAGGGAGCACAGGGCTCAAGATTGAAAAAGATAAACGATAAACCGTAAGGAAAATTACTTGCTAAACTATAAACAAAACGGTACTGTCAAAGGCGAGCTTAAGAACATAGGGTAAAACAAAACAAAATAAACAGCAAAGCACCTTTTTAACACCGGCACAAAAGAAGTTGTCCTTTTTACCAGCTCCAGGTGAAGGGGAAGTGGGAAATGGTTTTAAGAGTTTGCCTAAGGGAAATCTGCCCGTGGCAATAGATGAACCAAAGATTCAGAGCTTCAAGGTGGGTTTTCCCAAGGGGTCTCCTAAACCCAGTTTTGTCTTGGCGATTTTGACATTTTTAGGAAAGTTTTGGACAATATGAAAGATTTGAGGGTTCCAATTCAGGAGGGTGGGAATCCGCAGAGAAAGGGGGCGCCTTCCCGAGAGGCTAGAACCGCTTTTTTTTTTTTTTTTTTTTTAACCCTTTGTGCACCCTTTCAGCGGGCTCCACGCCAGCTTGCGCAAAGAAAACAAACCTACCAAGATTTCCCAGTTTGACTCTGCCCCAGGGAGAGCCTGAGTTTGACGGAAGAGTGCTGACGCCTCGCTGGTGGCCGAGTCAAGAATATCAGGGAAGAGAAAAAACGAGAATAAAACCTTATAACGAAGGCGTTGGTGGTTAGAGAGGATGAAGAAAAAGTGGAAAGTTAAGGTTTTGAAGACCATAGTCCTCTAGCGCCCAAACTGGAAAGGAGGTGGGTGGGAAGACGGGCGAGAGACGAGGGAAAGCGCAAGCCGGGGACCGGGAGAGGGAAGGGCGATCCCCGGAGTGGCCACGACTTTGACAGCTTCGGGCAGCACCAAACCTCGGGGAATGGAAGAGAAAAACAGAACTTACTTTCCGAGGGGAAGAAGGGCGGCATGTCGATTTTGTAAACTTCCTTGGCATAGTACTCCTCGTCGCTCCTCTCGCGCTCGCAGGCGGCAGCTCGCCGGCTTGCTTTCTCCTGGAGCAAGTCCCTGGTGCTGTTGTAGATGGAAATCACCTCCGGGGGCACTTGGTCGGGCTCTGGGTAGTCTTCTGGGGGACTGGTGAGCTTCAGCTTGCTCAGGATCTGCCCGCGGATTGCCTCGATTCTCTTGCGCATGAACTGGTCCATATCCAACGTGCTGCAGGTAGACAGGCTAAGCGCAACGGTGACCAGATGCAGGATCAGAAAAGCGCTCAGCACACAGCAGTGCATTTTTTTTTAAGGTGGTAAAAGTTAAAAAAGAAAAAAAAAATTAAAGAAATAAAAAAGGAGAACGAAACCAACAATTCTCAAAATATAGATTAGGTAGAGATTTTTTTTTTTTTTTAATGCGACACTCTTGCGAGCCAATCCCCAGTAGAAAATATTTCTTGCTTGAATTCCTTAAAAAAGAAAATGCAAATAGTTCTCAGCGTGGAAATACTAGTACGGGATGGGCAGGGGGAACTCTTGACTTTGGGAAGTAAGAAAAAAATTCTTGGAACGACGAGATGGGAGGGAAAAAAAAAAAAGGAAGAAGAGGGACTATTAAGCAGAAATAAATTTAACAGGAGGAAACGGAGTTTAGTGTGTCAGTCTCGGCTGCGGAGTGGTGAATCTGAACTCCGCTCCTCCGGCCAAAAGGGAAGAGATGAAAAGGTCCCCGGGCTGGCAGCTGGCGAACTGACGGAAGGGGCGCCGGCGGAGTTGAGATGGGGGCCGCTGATGCTGGCCGGGGCTGTAATTTATATATTTAAAGAAGGAGCGGTTCGGCAGGGCCTTCCACTGCGGCGCTGTGAGCAGGATCAGCAGCAGCAGCTCCCGAGTGGAGGAGCGCACGTGTGTATGCGTGTGTGTGTGTGTGTGTGTGTGTGTGTGTGCGTGTGCGTGTGTGTGTGCGTGTGCGCGCGCTGGGGACGAGCCTGGCGCGGCGCTGGGAGGCGGGTGCGCTTCGCGCAGCGCTCTGGACTCGGTCGGGTCCTCCAGGGACCGCGGAGGCTGCAAAGGCCGCGAGGATCCTGCTCCGGGAGCCGCGTTGTGGCCTGCACCCCGACCGGCGCGCACCGACCCGCCCGGCTGCTTCTCTTTGCTGCCGCCGCCGCTTGCAAACACGTCCAGACTCCAGATCCCTCCTTCTCCTGCTCCTCCTTCTCCTCCTCTCGCTCCAAACGCCAACCCAGCTACAGACGACTGGCCGCCGCTGCAGTTGCTTTCACCCCCTGCGGACCGCAGCTGCAACCCTGGGACGCGCTGCCCGAAAGTTTATTTCCTAAGGGATTGTGTAGGGGTTCCCTTGGACGACTGTCCTTTCCCAACCTCTCCTGGCCTCTCCCCTACTTGGACCTTCTCGCTCAGGGTAGATAGACACTTGCCACCCTTCTGAAATAAAGTCGCTTTTTTCTGCAACCAGACATCCCCTTACTTTGTCCCGAATAACTCCCTAGACGGTTCCGTTACGCTATTTTCTCTATCCTTTTCTCCCTGCTTTTCTTCACTTGGCGCTTTCTTCCGCTCTCTCTTTTCTCTCTCCTTGGGAGCTTCTGGAGGCCCGCTCGAAGCGAACCCTCCGCTGCCAGCAGATAACATCACGCTCTTGCTGGGGAGGAGAGATTTATAAATTCTCTCCGAACCACGTGTTTGCCTTCAACAAAGTGACGTGCTAGGATTACAGTCAGAAGTCTTCTCTTACTTTGACCACGAGCTCTCTCCGCACCGTTGAGGGGGTGTGGAAATGTGGACTGATGTGGGGAAGGGAGGGAGGAGGTGGAGTGTGCGCCCTGACAACAGTGATTTACGGTATTTACTTTATATAGTCATTTTGTACCAGCTTGTTGAAGGACAACTATCAAGCCTCCCGTTTTCACTGAGTGTGGCTTTCTCATTGCCTCCCTAGTGGAATCACTTGTTCTAGAATGGAAGTCTTCACTATTGTATGTACACACACGCACAAACACACACATATGCCAGAGAGCATGTACAGTCTACTTTGCACCAAGTTGGTCTGGAAGATATCCTACCAACATAAAACTTACATTGTTGTTGTTAAGTGCCATCAAGTTGGTTCGGAGTCATAGCAACTCTGTATAGGATTATCGAGGAGCTGCCGGTGGGTTTGAACTGCCGACCTTGTGGTTCACCGCCCAGTACTGATCCTACAGAACCGCACCAGTTCTACTTTTACAATCTTATTTTCTGAGATTCCATAACCTGTCACTAACCTTAATCTAAGGGTTTATTTTATTATTTGGTTGCAATCTAGTCTTAATGTGACTGTGAACTGCTGGAAAATAACTCCCATCTTTTACCTAGAGAATTAGGTATATTTGCTTGTTTTACTATTTAAATGATTAGCTTCTATAATTTGTTGCCTAAACCACTTCTTGGTAAGACTAGACCTTATCAACCAACTTCATTCTTTCCTAGCATACAAGCAGAAAACTGGAATTTTAAGTGTTTGATATCTACTTTGTTATATACTATGCATAACTTTTCTATTTCCACCTACCCAGATTAGATGAGAAGAATTCTACCACTGTTTTATTTTCCTTTTACTTAGTCATTTTCATGTCCACTTGACACTATGACCACATTGATTAGTATGATTTAAATTGGAAACGCTGTTTTCCCACAAAACTCAAAGCCTCTATATTATTATTCCTAGTTCAGATATTACTTTTATTACTAAATTCAATAGGAACTTTATAGTTTCTGGATTGTACACTTTTGATGTATATTTATGATTAGTAAGTAGAACTGCTGGAACAATAGTAACAATGTTATGTGTGCCCTTGAGTTGATTTGACACATAGCAACCCTATGTTGTTGTTGTTGTTAGGTGCCATAGAGTCAGTACCAACCCATAGCAACCTTATGCATAGCAGAACGAAACACTGCCCAATCCTGGGCCAACCTCACTACTGTTGCCACGCTTGAGTCCATCGATGCTGCCACTTGGCCAATCTGTCTCACTGGGGGTCTTCCTCTTTTTCTCTTACCTCCACCTTACCAAGCATGATATCCTTCTCCAGTGACTGGTCCCTCCTGACAATATGTCTGAAGTATGATAGATGAAGTTTGGCCATCTTGGCCTCCAAGGAGCACTCTGGCTGCACTTCTTCCAAAATGGACCTATGGTTCTTTTGACAGCCCATGGCACTTTCAATATTCTCCTCCAACACCATTAACTCAAAAGCATCAATTTTTCTACGCTCTT